CTGCGATATGTCACCATAATCTTAAGCTATTATCTTATTATTATTATTATTGATTATTGTTATTGATTATTGTTATCATCCCATGCAAAATTTTTTGTTATTTTTATCATCATTCACATAAAGCAATGTTTTTCTGTTTCTTTTTACATCAAATTTAACAAGCATTTAACTGTAAGCACAACGGTATAAACGGTGAGGGAAAATGCGGGTTACCCGTCCAAACAGTTCAAAAATACAGATGCTGCCTTAAAAATCGCAACTCCTAAAAATTTTCACCTGATTCAGAGAAATCTATCCGTATATTCCAGTGGATTCCGGACAATTTATGTAGGAACTACTATTGACGAAACACCCAAAAAAAGTAATTGAAATGCTTCTTTTTTAGCTTCTCATGTAACAGAGACATCAAATGTGGAAAGAAAAAAATTTATTTTCGCCAAAAAATTCATTTTTTTATAATAAAAGCCAAAAGCGGGAAAAAAAAAGCTTGAATAAAATGGCATATATCAAAAAAATGAAGTGCTTTTTCTTTCTCCCTCTCTTCAATCGTTGCGTTTGCGGCTTTTCTCCTAAAAAAAAAAGGCATGAAAATTAGTAAATTCTGATAATCGGACTGCTAATACACGCATATACAAAAATTAGGAAGGCTATCCGTAGGTTATCCGGCGGAAGGGTCCATATTTCCATGCCTATAAAATGGGAATTATGTGAACAGGATGAATTCAGATTCCAAAAAAATTAAAAAAAAAAAGCTACCAGAACAATATCAGTGGTGGGAAGTTGCTGTTAAAAGTACCCACGTAAATACTATGAAATTATTTCGCACTTTTATCGTATTTTTCGATAATCTCTACAGGGCATGTTAAAAGTGGACAACGTACTAAAAGCCTAGTGAACAAGGGAAAACTCTCAAATTTGATGGTCTTCGCCCAAAAAAACGAGGAAAAACTCTCACGGACGAGGAAGAACTCTCAATCTTGATGGTCCCTGCCCAAAACAGTAGGGGAAAACTCTCACGAACGAGGAAAAACTCTCAAATTTGATGATCTCCGCGCGAAACAACTAGGAAAAACTCCAAATTTTGATGTCCCCCGCCCGAAACGAGGAAAACCCTCCTGGAAGAGGGGAAAACGTCTCAATTTTGATGGCCCCACCTGAAAATACGACGAGAAATTCATGGACGAGGACAAAAGTTTTGATGATTCCAGCTCGAAACAACGAAGAAAAACTCTCACGGGCGAGGGGAACTCTTCAGTTTGATGGTCCCCGCCTGAAAGAACGAGGAAAAACTCATGGAGTAGGATAAAAACTCCCAATTTTGACGCTTCCGGCTCGAAACAACGAGGAAAAACTCTCAAATAAAAACTCTCAATTTTGATGGGCACCCCGCCCTGAAAAAAACGAGGAAAAACTCTCACGGATGAGGGGGAAAATTGTTTAGTTTGATGGTCCTAGCCTGAAACAAAGTATTTTTATTAGGTATAAGCTATAAATCGTGGAAAACAGAGTACTCTTACCGCATTTTTTAACAGCTCCGCATGGGATTTTATTACTAATTTACCTCAAGTACTCCTCTCACGTACTCCCTTTACTCCTCATCCCCTCCTTCCCAAGTCCAGTTGGCTCAAGTCGAGAATTCCGGAGGATTATTGTTCAAAAGCAAATTTCAAAAGCAACTTAAAGCAATTTTGATTCCCTTGAATTTCTTGTCCCAAGCAGGACTGACCATCACGACTACAGATGACCGAAGCTACTATTTCACTTGGTGGTCAGAACGTCAGTGACCTTAATACTCACCCGTTATTCCCTTCCCCCGTTATTTAGAGTATTTAAAGCTAAGGTAGAAAATAAGGAGAAGGAAAAAGAAGAGGAGAACGAAATGAATAAAAAGAGGAGAATTAAAATATTTGTAATTGGTAAGAAATGTTGTATTGAACTCTTGTCGATACCCTTCGGCTCATCAACCAATAATCCTCTCAAATCCGTTCAGTTTGAGAATTAAACTAAGAATTACACCCCAAAATATGCTTGTACCCAAAATATGAGGTATTTTTACCCAAAATATGAACATGAGGTATTTTTACCCAAAATTTTTACCCAAAATAGTTTCCTTCTTCTCCTGATATTTTCTTTTCAATCTTTAATGAGGATCGCTTGGGTAAATATTCCTCATATTTTGGGTACTCTTATACTCCTACGCGTAAGAAAAACGTATCTAATAACAGTCACAAGCGATTTTATGGAATACTTAATTTTAAGTTCAAAAAAACGAAATTTTCCCAAACCTTTTTGTCACTGAGAATGACCAAAACGTAGCGGAACAGATTGATGAAATCGATGAACAGTTCAATGGTATGCCAAATGTAATCAGTATCACCACGGCGGCGTTTCTCACAGATCAGTTGTGTATCGTACAGAACCAGAGCGCAATTGATCGCAAATGCCATCCACAGACAGGTGGTGTGCATGAACGGGGAACTGGAGAAAATCGCCGTGACCAGAATGAACAGGAAGCCAGCACTGATTATTCCTAAATTTGTTAAAATCCGATAAAAATTCGTTAAAATTCAATAAAATTCGTTAAAAATCGATAAAATTCGTCAAAATTCGACAAAATTCGTTAAAACTTGAATTTTTATGAGTTACACACCAAAAAAAACATAACATTCGAGACGAACTGTGGCGGTACCAAGGGCATCTCAGAAAGACTAAAGTCCCCTTGCCGGGTATTTCTGTCCGGAAAACCGTTCTGCTGAGCAAGGTAAAAGGCATTACGGGCCTCAAAAGCCCTGTTGGGGAAAAGAAGAGGGTAGTAACCAGGGCCAGGAACAACGGCCCATTCAGCGCAAGGTATCGACCGGCAAGGGTTGCACCAATCCTACACACAATAGGAATAACCAGAGATAGGACGATGGCCGCCCAGAATCCAATGAGGCACTGAAGAAAGGAAAATAAAAAAAGGTCATAATGCAACACCAATATCCCTTTGGAATTTCCTAACAAAGTTCAGCGACTCAATGCATTTT